GAATTTTGGAATTTTAGAATTTTGGAATTTTAGAAGTTTGGAATTTTGGAATCTTAGAACTTTGGAATTTTGGATTTTTTTTTTAAAGAATTTTGGAATTTTAAATGTATTGTTCTTTCATTTTCAGTTACTGAAAGGTAGGTCTCTAAGCCCGATATTAAACCTGACTATTTCCTGTATTTTTCAAAAAATCGATTACCCATACATTAGTCCCCAATGCAAAATAAGCTAGCCCTTGTGATAGCTATGCTGCAGGTCACGTGGCTGCATATAAATGAAAACCAGCTCCAAAATTGGAATTCCTGGATTCCAAGATTTCCTCTGCTTTCTAATTAGATGTTGAAAGCAACTTATATAAAGAAAAAGCAGCTCTAAAACCCAGGATTCCAAGAGGTCAAAGCCTTTGTAAAAAGGGAAAACTACCTCCAAAACCAGAATTTCAAGATTCCAAGATTTTCCTTTGCTTTCTAAACAATTTTTAGAAGGAACTTACACACAGGAAAATGATCCAAAACAAGAATTCCAGGATTTTCGGGTTTTCCTTTGTTCTTTTTAAGCTAGATTTTAAAAGGAGTGTACATAAGACAAAAATGCCTCCGAAGCCAGACTTCCATACGGTTCCTGGGCTGTCCAATGAGATTCAAAAGGGAGATGCTATAAATGACAACCAGCTCCAAAACCAGATTTCCAGGATTCCGGAGTGTTCCTTTGCTTTCTAATGGAATGAAAAAAAGGAAAACCAGCTCCAGGATTCCAAGGTTTGAGGGTTTTCCCTTGCTTGCCACTTAGATTTCAAAAGGAATTTATCTAAAGGAAAGCCAGCGCCGGGATTCCACGATTTCCTTTTGCTTTCTAATCAGGTTTCAGAAGGAATTTATATTAAGAACGCGCTCCTAAAACCAGATTTCCAGGATTCCAAGATTTCCTTTGATTTTTAATTAGATATAATTAGATTAGATTTCAAAGAGAACTGAAAGGACCTTATATAAAGGAAACCAAGTCCAAAACCAGAACTCCAAGATTCCAAGATTATCCTTTGTTCTCTCATTAGGTTTTACAAGGAATTTATGTAAAGAAAAACTAACTCCAAAACTAGAATTCCACGCCCTTCTCTTTTGAATGAGGCTGTAAAGGAATTTATACAAGGAAAACTACCTCCAAAACCATAATTCCAATTAGGTTGTAAAAGGAACATATACAGAGGAACGCCACCTCAAGGCAAGAAAGAATTCCAGGATTCGAGCTATAAAGGAAAGCCAGCTCCAGGATTCCAAGGTTTTCCTTTAAACCCTAAACCCTAAACCCTAAACGTTGTAGAAGGAATTTATGCAAAGGCAAGCCATCTTTAAAGCCAGAAGTCCAGGATTCCAAGATTTGGGGGTTTCCCAAAATTAGGGGTACTTTTTTCGGGGTCCCCATAATAAGGACTATAGTATATGGGGGTCTATATTGGGGGGTCCCCTTGTTTTGGGAAACTACCATTTCCCTTCGCTTCTAAGTCATACCTTTGTCTTGTTATCACTGGTATCACCTAGTTTGATTTGTCTTAAAGAGACAGCCGCGCTGATACGCGCAATGTGTTCAGCAGCACTGTATACAAGGGATTTTGAGAAAGGCACATTTTTGGGTCTCCGTTTTTGGGGGTCTTCTAAATATAACATAGCATAACACTATTACCAGAGAAAGCTCAATTTCACCGCTATTTGCAGTGTTTGGTCACAGTCACCCAAGTAAGTAGAGGGAAGAATCCTGTGTAATAAGTGTCG